CTGGCAGATTGACAAACTGACCTGTAAAGCTGGTCACATGATCGACTGGGAGCTGGAGTCATTTGTCACAGTGAGGGACAGGAGGACACTGGACAAACTGCTCTCTATCATGGACACTCCTGCTCACCCACTGCACCAGACTATAGAGGCACAGAGGAGCTCATTCTCCAACAGGCTCCTAGAGCTCTACTCAAACAGTGAGAGTTACAGGACTACATTCCCACCATGCTCCACAGAACTGTACGACTCACCCTTATGCTATGTATGTATGTATGTATGTCCTGACAATCATCAATATCATTGTTGCATTGTCTTCCTATAACTTCTTGTATATAGCTGTGATTTTATATTTGATTGCTTATCAATTTTATTTTGACTTGTACATTTACATTTATATAATTATGCCTTATTTGACACCTTTCTCTTGCTATCTCTTTTTCTACTTATTTAGAATGTATTATTAGCATTTATATTTTGTTATTATATCATATTATATTGTGATGTGTGAGCTACTGTGTCCAAATAATGTCCCATGTGGATCAATAAAGTTTGTCTAAGTCTAATGATGTGTTGCGTGTCTTTGATCACCACAAGCTGTCCGACTGACCAGATCTTTGTCAGATTTCTCTCTCTGCACAATTCAAAACAGACATAAATGAAAAACTTTTTGCAGTCAACGCGCAATTTGTAAGCCTTCACCCTCTGACCAGAGGGTAGCTGGTTCAAGTCACTTCGGCCTGACCAAATTCCTATAGTGACCCCTGGTGGCGTAGTTTTTTGTCTGTTGTGAAAATGAGTTGAGCCTACAAGAGCAATGAACATTCAGGAAGTGTACTCTTTTATGTCACGTACTTAACGTGCGAGCACTATGTATTGGACTCAGTGAAACCATGAAGGCTGTCATTGCGATCGTTTTTGTGCTTGTCTTGTGTCCGTCTGAAGAACTGGACTTCATCAAGCAAAGACACTTTTTCACCAATTCAGAAAATGTAGCAATGAAGGTGGATTTATCCCGAGTGGTGCGGCGAGTGGATCCGCGTTTTCTATCTCTCACCATAGATGCCAGCCTGGCTTCCGATGAAAAGTTCATGAATCTTTTGGGGTAGGTGACTCAGGTAGACTAATGTGTTCTCTACTCTTTAGTGTTAATCCTGTAACCTGTACTGCACTAGACCTTTCATTTTCCCATTAGTGTGACACTCTAAAGCAGCTTATGTCTTCCAATTTCCTCTCTGGGGATTGGCATTCTGGTCAAATATGACACAAACACCATGATCCTTTTTGTAGTAGCCTATTAATACGCAACAGTGAAGGCTCATTTTTCCTCATAGCGTACAAATGGAAGCCATGTGAATTTATTTTGTAGTCTTTGTGGAGTACCAGAGAACAGCTTTTGTTTTGTTGTAACTAATAACTAGTTCATTATTTAATCCAGATCTCCAAAGATAAGAGCACTGGCAAGGGCTTTATCTCCAGCCTTTCTGAGGTTTGGTGGGACAAGGCAGGACTTCATGGTCTTCACTCCTCAGGATGTTTGGGGCTCAAAGGTTCCTCCAGGTAGATATTATCATCTTGTTTTGCTTCCAAAGAAGCAGTTTGTTTGACACTGGCTTGGAAAGGTTAACATGCACACCAAAATCATATTATCTGATTTCTGGACCTTTAAAATTAGTTAGCCTTAAATGAAATGAAATGCAAAATCTGATCTGAGTAATCAGTGCAACCAAGATCAAAAATAAGTCAGAAGATTTAGCTGTTTACATGCTATTTAAGTAGTCTTAAACTTCAAAAGTTCATCATGATCAGATTTTGAGTGTACAGCGCATGTAATGACAGACACTTCTGTGTGTTCACTACACACTTGAGCCCAAACCCAAGGTTGTGTTCTACCTGTTGTTTTGTAGGCTTGTCTAGACCTGGCCTAGACTAGGTGTAGTTCTGGGTTAAGTCACAATTTGTATGTGTAAATTCAAAATGTGTGTAAAGCTCCCTGAAAAGGATTATACTTGTGTTGTATATATTGTGTTGCAGCTGCAGATGTGTGTGACAACAATGTGCTGCCCTCTTGGCTGGAAGACAAGCTGAAAAAGGATTGGGTCCAGCAGCAAATAATCCTAAAGAGAGAGGACCTGCAGAGAAAGTATAGAAAAGTTAAATTCACAGGTCTATGTCATGACTCTATCTAAACATTGTATTTGGCTTTATGAAAGCAAATGTAACTCATTCAGTTATACATTGCTGTAGAGGCTACAGTGGACCAGCTGTACACTTTCTCTAACTGCTCTGGGATGGAGCTGATTTTTGGACTCAATGCTCTGCTCAGGACAGCTGACAACCACTGGAACAGCTCCAATGCACAGGCACTTATGCACTACTGTGCATCCAGGCAGTACAAGATGTCATGGGAGCTGGGCAATGGTAGGTCACATCACTCAAAGACAGTTCAGATGACAACAAATAATAACAAATAGCAACAAAAGCAAACAAATTAACATGGTTGAACATCATGAAACTTCCTCATATCACAACTAGGTATACCAACTCTCATATGAGTAGACCATTGAGAGGCGTGAGCATGGACTTGTTTTTGCTTTCACAGAGCCAAACAGCTATGAGAAGAAAGCAGGCATTAGAATCGATGGCTTCCAGCTGGGACAGGATTTTGTCCGCCTCAGAATGATAATGTTAGAATCTAAATTCTACCAAAAGTCTGGATTGTATGGCCCAGATGTTGGGCAACCCCGGGACCACAGAATAGACATACTGGAGGGGTGAGTTTGCAATATGTTAATGAAGAAGTAGTGCCTATCAAAAAATTATTTGTAAATGAACCAATATTAACCCCAAAACAAACTCAAACAGTTCAAGTTCAAGTTGGGTAAGTGCACAAATTTTCTGGTGTCCAAAAGCTCAGTGTTTTGCTTGGAATGTTCCAAAGTGTGGCATACAATACAATCCTTTTATCTCCACAAAGACAAGCAGGTGTGGCCACCAGGCCAGTTATTATTTAGGAATAGAAAGTAGTTGCATAAATTTAAGAAAATTGTATCAAAATGTTCCAGGTACACGAAAAAAACGACACACCTTTAATATTCAGTCTGCATACTTATTACAAGTCGACAGTTCAAAAGAGCTTTGTGTTGAGACTCTAGTTTGTGGTTGAATTTTATGTCACATGGGAGTAGACTAAGTAATTGTTTAACTTGGTTCACATGACTTCATAATGCAGTTGTGTGGAATGAAGAATTATGTGTCCTCACGCTGTTGTAATTTCTGCTGTAGGTTTTTACAGAGTGGATCTGAGGCAATTGATGCTTGTACATGGCACCAGTGAGTATGAATTGGCTTTCCCCATCCAAAATAAAATACATAGCAAGTAAACATCAAACATGTACATACTATGTTTCTGAGCTGTTTTTATACAGTTATTATGTGAATGGAAGAGACACATCTTTGGAAGATTTTCTGGACCCTCAAGTTCTCGACACTCTGACCTTAAAGACAAATGAAGTCTTGCAGGTAATAGTGTGATAAGAGGTGATGAAAGGTGTTGAGTGCCACATTCAATCACTAAACATGTAGTTTTGGTTTAGAAAGTGAAACAGGCATCACCACAGAAGAAAGTATGGCTTGGAGAGACTAGTTCAGCATATGGAGGAGGCGCTTTGGGACTCTCTGACACATTTGTTGCTGGTTTTATGTAAGTCCAAATTATGTACAAAAATATGTACATAACATTATGTTTCATGGGTTACTAACTGCACCTCTGGTCATGTCTTATGGCAGTTAAAATACATTGTCAGCTGTAACTTTAATACTGTATTTTAGTTTTGCACAAAGAACATTTTGTGAAGCATTGGTTTGATATATTTATTTTGTAAAGGTGGCTGGATAAGTTGGGCCTTGGGGCCAAACTGGGTTTGAATGTAGTCATGAGGCAGGTGTTCATTGGTTCTGGGAGTTACCACCTTATTGATGACAACCTTGACCCCCTTCCTGTAAGTCCTGTACTGCTATATTTTGTACTTTACCAATTACAGATGATAATAATTGATTTGTCCACTGTAGGATTACTGGTTATCTGTTCTTTACAAGAGGCTTGTTGGCCAACAAGTGTTGTCAGTGAAAGCATTTGGCAACTACACACTTTTTTCCAAAAGAGTTCGGCTTTATTTGCACTGCACAGACAAAAAAAGGTATTTTGCATGTATAATCTAGACAGTAAAAAGTAGTGTACTTTTCTGACATACTTGATATTCTATAGTTCCACTAATGGAGCAGTGACACTAATAGCGATGAACCTGAATCACAAGGCAGTGATGGTCTCAGTGCCTGCACACATGGCATCCAGCACAGTGGTGGCTTTTGTCCTGGAGTCTGACCAGAGTGGAGAGGAGGGACTCTGCTCCAGGTGCCAGTGGATTTCCTCGATATAATTATTGAGCTCTCTTCCCATTTTAAAAGCTTTTATTTTACATGTAGCAACTAAGCACCATGGTCTGTCTGTTTATGTTTACAGATCTGTTAAGCTAAATGGAGAAGTTCTGAAGATGGTGGATGACACAACTCTCCCAGATCTTAAAGGAGTTGCTCTACCTCCTTCAGATCATGTCCAGCTACCTGCCTATTCTTTATCCTTCTTCGTGTTCAGCGATGTCAAGGCACAAGCATGCCTGTCACCCTAACAGACAACAGGTTGTTGATCACTACATTTGTGCACGGGGTAATGGTTTTCATCACTGTAGTACTAATACTTGAAGTTTTTTGCTTTTCATTTTGGAGAGGTCGTGTACTGTATTTTATTTACTGAAATGTTTATTTTGTTTTTAAGAAAATAAAATCAATAAGTCTTGGTGGTATATATTGTGTCTATAGTTTTATTGATAATTAGTTAGAAATAATAACTTGTTATTACATGTCTATTCTTCTTGCTCCTCCCCATGTGTGATAATGTAGCACAGAGATTTGTAGTCCAGGTTGCCAGCAGGGTCGATATTTGACGATTGGAACATTTGATTGACCTGCAAGTCAATGGGGTTTATTAGTACACAAGTAAAATCATATAAAATGGCCAGTCCTTTTTACCTCCTCCAACGAAAACTTGTCAGCTTGGGTCATCAGTAAAGTCTGCAGTCTTTAGCACAAATATTGTTTTTTAGTGTAAAGTCATCACATTAAATTAACAACATGCTGTGTCAACATACTCATCTTTATGTATGAAACCCTTGGCATCTGAATCAAATAACTTAAAAGCATTTAGGATGGTTTCCTCAGCATCAGTACCTGCACAAACACAAAATTGATATATACACACACATACCTTTTTTCCCCACATTTTCACAACCTCTGATAAGACACTGAATGATCTTACCATGCAGCTTTTCTCCAAATAGATTAAGAAACATTGTGAAGTTGATGGGTCCAGTTGCTTCCTTTAACATGTCTTCAAGTTCATTATCCTTCACATTGAGCTTACCTTCAAAACATACTTTCTGGGTTATTTGTTAGGTAACAGATTATTCAATTGTTACAATACAGATACAGACCTAATGATGCATATGTGTCCTTCAGGTCTTCTTTATCAATGAATCCATCTCGATTTTGGTCAATTAAAGTGAAAGCCTATGAAAAACGTGAATTTTAACTGATGTATCTTGCATATATGAAATAAGATTTAAAGACTCAAATAAGATTTTACCTCTTTAAACTCTTGGATTTGGGTTTGTTCGAACATGGAGAAAACATTGGATGATGCTCTCTGGGCTCTTTTGGCACCTCCTTCCTTCTTCTTTGTCTTTCTGCTGGCCTATAGTAGAACAACATATAACATCCAAATAAATAGCTTACTTAAATGCATACAAATATAATGATCCAGAGACATACCATCCTGAAAGCGTTACTACCAGTGCAATAGACTGATGCAAAAGGATCTGAGAACACGGAGTTTAAATACAACAGCTGTCTTGGACTGGGACAGAACATGTGCTGCACATTTGAATGAAGCTCTGTCTTAGGGGAAATGTAATCTAAATGGGACCCCCCAAACGGGCCAAGATCACCATACATGGCCAGTATCATCAGAGCCTGACAACTGCTGTCCTTAAACCAGTTAAACGGTTTCTATTTACAGTGTTATGCACTCATTAGGTGTGGGCAGAGATATCTTAGATTCCTTTTCATTAAAGACACCCTCTACTTTATAGTTTTGTTTGTTTGTGTGTTTGTTTGTTTGTTTTTATGAAGCTGTTTAGCAAAAGAACCTTTTGTGAACATACAATAACAATAACAATAGCAACAATATATCTACATATCTAATTGCATTACAACAATACATATACCACTTTTCTCCTCACTAAACTGCAAAGCTGTGAGGAAAAATCTTCTGTAGGCCTATAGGTTTAGGCTATATCTTTGTAACTGTAGCTCAGTGTTTTGTGCTTAATATACAGTCCTCCTGGTTTTACTTTCATTTACAGAGAACCTGTGTAGGCCTATTGAGAATATAATTTAATAAAAGGAATCTAAAAAACAATCAAACAAAAAAGGACCAAGACCTGTAATATTATGAATAAATAGGCTATGAGTTCTTCCATGAGTGGAAAGTTTTGGTTTTCACATCAATATGTCTCAACTTTAAAGTAAGTCAGGAAATATAAGGACATACATATAAAATATCCTTGTATCTCAACGTTGTCATGAATACTACGTGCCACAGGGAGGTGCTATGCTATTGTTAACATGGATGGGTTGTAGCGTCCTTTGCAGAGTCCCATACCATTTGTTCTTTTATCTTGAAATTACAACAATATAACAATGTCATACCCAACTAACGTTCTGGGGAGGTTATTTTTAAGACATCAGAATGTTTCCTGAAAGTTACCTTTGGCTATTTTGGAAAAATTTATAACGGTTGTGCAACTTTATTTTTGGTTAATGTTACTCCTTTAGATCCAAGCTACTACTCCTCTGGGAAACGATTGAATATTTGGTTTCCTAAACTTTTTGGGAAAGTCATGTCAGTCAAGTCAGACATGATCTTTAAATAACGTTCAGGGAACGTTAATTGGGTTAGTTACAAACTAATCTTTCGGGCTAACGCGCCCTGTTTGGTGGGTAAAATAAGTAATAATAATCAAATGTTTTGCATAATTTACTGCCCCCATAGTACCCCATACCGTTTCGCATGAGGAGACCATAGAAGGAGGAGACCTGTATAGTAAAGTAAGTTTACCTTAAATACTACACTACCCACAAACCCACGCTCTGAGCCATGTTGTAGGAAATCCGCTTGCGGCGGATTATTGTAATCCGACAGGGGTCTGAACGACACATCGGATCACGACATAAAGCAAAGCCCGGCGGCCTGTGACAGATGCACCTCGTCCAAGAGTAAAAGGATAAACTTGAGTTATGATCTGACGCACTGCTCTGTACTTCTTGATTTGGTCATCCGCGCTCCCGGGACTGTTTCCTGGACCCGTGCACTTCTCCCCCGTCAAGTGACAGCGATTTAGCATCACTGCACTGTGCTGCAGCGAGCACAGGCGAGGCTGTAATTTGTTAGTAAAGGAGATCTCCCCTCTCCCTTTCCTTGTCAATTCTAAGTGCAGCCCGAGCGGCTCGTCTGTGGCACACTGCAGCGGGCGCTGCAGAAACTCCGCTAGCTACCGCGGCTAGCTCACTCTAGCTAGCGCGGCTAGCTAGAAGGAATTCATCAAGTTTAGATAGGAATTCAGCTAATTGGCCACCAACTGTCCCGAGCAGAGAATGTCGACGAAAGACCAAAACAAGCTCTCCACCATAGAACGACCCATCAAAGGTTTGTGTTCAATAATTTAAGGTTGATCTTGACCAATTCTGTTGGTGCAGGAAGTTCACCCACTTTGCCAAATATTGCAGTGAGTTGAAAAGCTCTGCGAAATGGCAAACCCAGTATCATCACTCAAATGTGCGTCTATAGCCGGGACCCGATGGATGCGTTTGTTTTATTATCTATGCATGGTATTTACATTGTCATTCTGATTATAGGTAGTAGCATTATGGCAACACTAATGCCAATCCTACAGTTTATTGAACCAGCCGTTTTACTGATTCTCAATTACATGAAATGCCATCTCCGTGTTTTAATCGACGTCCATTATACCAGTTACAAGTTTTTAAACGCATTTTTTTTACTTTGTATTTTTTTGACTCAGTGGTGGTCGATGTAAATCATTCAATCACTGGATTAAGAGGACCTAATAGAGCTAATTAGACTTGTCTGACAAAGCCAATCAAGAGTTTACACCGACCCGGTATAAGTGACAAGACGTTTAGCGGATTTACCTTAGCAGTTAAAACGCTCTTCGAAATCCTCCTGCCGCATTTTTAAGATCAAATCTGTCCAATGCCTATGTATCCCTTTAAGGATTGTTCAATGTGTTATAGAATCTAAATTGGTTGGCATCTGCATGGTGGAAACGGGAAACCATAAACTGAGCCTAATTTAGAAATTTCATTGTCCACATTGTTCAAAAATAAGTTTTCTGTTGGTGATGTGAAACTGAGTTATGCATTTGCTTAATACATTACAACATCAACATTAATAGCCAATTTACGTGAGAGAGAGTTGTATAGGCATGCATTTTTTTGTCATGCCTTGGTCTTGTGGCTTAATTTGACTTTTTGAGTCCTGCATGCCGTTTAGATTTTTGGGATGTGCGCGTCTTCTCTTTAATTGAATCACTCTGTCCATTTGCAATGGCTGGTATTGTAGTTCCCTCTTTATTCTTGATGAATTGACCACAGGACCAGACAAGGCTCTGTCTTTATGTGATAAATCAAGGTGAATGGGGCTAATTAAAGGTGCATTGCACAACTTTTCTGTTGGAGGGTCCTTTACCTGCTTGTCTCCATGGAGATGTCATTGCTCTGCCTGGAATGTTCCATAGTATGACGTTAAACAGCTCTACACATTTATTCAATTACAGGTGGTTTTATACCTCAAAAACAGGAGTTACTTCCCACAGATCTGATCTGTAACTTGGTGTGGTTTGGTCTCAATGAAGATGTAAAGGTTTAATACCATACTGTGAAACATTCCAGACATCTCAATGGAGAAAAGCTTTTGATGGACCATCCACCAAGAAAGTTACACAATGCACCTTTTAAGTAAGAATTAGTAGTAGTAGTAAAGCTCTTTTATACATTTAGATTTAAAATTGTTGCTTTCTTTCCTTCCATTGAAGCAACACAAAATAACAAATACCATTTACCACTCTTCTTGGCAGACGTCTTTCTCCAAACTACTCACACAGTTGAGACACAAGCTTGATTATATTCTAGCTACTCATAGATGCACGTTTAAGACTGTGTTTTGCATAGTTTTGGGCCAGTAGTGGTGGTGTGTGTGTATATATAATTGAAACATACAGTCCTTGTTTTGTTTTATATTTGATTGGCTTGTGACCGTATGATATTTGACCAGTCAGGGCCTGCTCTGAACAGGAAAAGAAGATTGCCTGCTCTCTTCTTAAATACATTTATATGCTGTGGCATCCTAGAAAAGTATTTATCTGTCATCATATGCACATTTAACTGTGTACTCTGCAGGTGGAAATATTGGGCCTAGTTAGCAGCCTGAGTTTACTTAAGCTGATTACATTGGAAGCTGATGCAATGGAGTATTTTAGCATAGCTCTGAAGAAAATTTTCCTAGCTCCATACAGCCAATAGGAAAACACTCATCTCTTTCTTTGATCACTTAAATACAACAACCTATACTATGTTTTAACAGGCTATTTTTTTTCCTTCTTTTGGGTACTTGTTTCTTCAAGACAGCATGACTACACAATCTTTATAAAATCCCTTTACTGCATAAATTGTCACTGCCATTTAGGGTAGCCTCCCTCAACTGACATTCAAAAAACAAACAAAATTAATTTACAAGCCTTCTACAAGTTATTTCTTCACTACCTGTGTGAAGGCAGAAACATTTTGTTTAGAAATGTGGCTTATTTTGGCATTTTGCCTCAGGCCTTATTCCAGTGTATCTCATTGTCTTGTTCTAGCCTTGACATGCCAAGTCTTGTTAAAACTTTGAAAGTGTTCTCATAATTTAGATCGTGAAAATACTAGACAACTCATTTTTTTCTGGTGATGTCTGACTAATACAAAAAGGGCAGGCTGATCAGGATACTCAGTGTTCTTGGTCAGTGGTTCACAACCTTTTACGACTACGATCTCTGTTTCACCCATGAATGCGTTGGCAATTCTAATGTCGCCCCTCTCCTACCTGAGAAGCTATTGTCCTTTAAGGAAAACAATTTGTTTTCTGGTTAATAACAATGTTATAGAACAATAATTATAAAATTTTATAAAATACCTTATAGAAGCAATTAACATGCCACTCCCCCTTATCAAAATTCACACAGTCTAGTCTACTACCTCTTTTCTATGAACCCCTGGGTACCCCTAATAATCTTTGGGGATCCAAATTTGGGTCCTGATCCCTACGTTGGGCATGACTGGACTAGTTGTTTCGTAATATACATACGCAAGTTGTAGCAAGGCACTGCTTTAAACATAAAACATTTTAATGAGGCAACTTAAAAACATAGAACTAAATCACATAGTTACAGGACATTGTCTGCCCTTTATCTGGAGCTAAGTTGAAGGAACCAGTGACTGAGAGAGTTCCACTCCTGGACACACACTGACCTGTGAATGCTCAGGACAAAAATTGTCTTTAATTAAAATATTGGTTCAAAGATGAGAACACATATCACGTTGAAATGAAGGCTGTGAACAGCTACAGATGATGATGCGGTTGTATATTACTGTTTGGTGTATATTTGTGGAGATGTCATTGACTTGTCTCCAATTCCTATGTCCTGCTTATGCTTTCAGTCTTATTGTGTTGTTTGTTTAGCGGTGCCATATCCTCCTGGTAACCGCCTGACGGTCAAAGACCTGTACGTGGATGGAAGGCCCAGCGTAGAGACGCTCAAGGCCCATTTGGTAAAAGAAGGTCGTCTGGAGGAGGAGGCAGCTCTGCGAATCATCAATGAAGGAGCCAGCATCTTGCGCCAGGAGAAGTGCATGCTGGAAGTCGAAGCTCCTATCACAGGTGAGACAGATAGATCCCAGTCTCTAAACACTTAAGAAACACAACTGAATGTCAGGTGTGAAACTGACAGTTTTAAGACAAATCCACCCTTTTCTCAGTGGAACTATACTATTCTGCTGTAGCTTTTTCTGGCATGTGGCTTCTCCTATTGACTATATTTTGTACAGTATATATATATTAGTTAATGAGGGTAATCTTTGTCTTCCATGTTAGTGTGTGGAGATGTCCATGGACAGTTCTTTGACCTGATGAAACTCTTTGAGGTGGGCGGCTCCCCCAGCACCACCCGGTACTTGTTTCTGGGAGACTACGTTGATAGAGGGTACTTCAGTATTGAGGTAGGAGCCACAGTCTGTGTTTGTATTTGTGCATGTGCCATATAATTTGACATTTGGGAGATATCTGGTGTTGAGCACGAGCTGCTTCTGAGCCCATCTTTAAATAGTGGTCCACATACACTCCCACTGACACACTATGAGCAGACAGTTGTCTTGAATATTGCCTGCAGGCTGAGTTTGTTCCATTTCCAAAACAATCAAAAGGGAGGATCGTTTCTGCCTGTGAGTTCTCTAAAGAGGGGGTCTTTTTAGCTATAGATGGCATTGAAATGTTGGTGGTCGCTCTCATGCTTCTATGTTGGGATTTGTGGAAAGCTTGTGGCAGGACGGGGAATCCAAGCCAAGGACAGGGAATCCAAGCCAAGGACAGGGAATCCAAGGACAGGGAATCCAAGGACAGGGAATCCAAGGACAGGGAATCCAAGGACAGGGAATCCAAGGACAGGGAATCCAAGGACAGGGAATCCAAGGACATCAGGGAATCCAAGGACAGGGAATCCAAGGACAGGGAATCCAAGGACAGGGAATCCAAAAGAAGTACAGTGAATCCAAATGAAATATAACAAAGGCCCCAATAACAAGTTTTTCACATTTACCAGGAATGCAAATACATTTTGTTATCTGATACTTAAATGTACATTTTTATTATTATTTTTTATTTATATGATTACTGATTTCAGTGTTGAAATGCACAGAAATAGTGACTCAAAATAGACATGGACATGTCTAACAGACCTCAACTCACTGTCAGGAGGATGGTACAGTGAGTGGGGTTTTAGGGTCAGAAAGTCTTAAACTACAACACAAAGCAGCCTACATAAATCAGCAATATATATTTGTAACATTTTGGCAACAATCACCACAAGTGGGATTTCAGGAAACAAAG